AAAATACATAATATTCCCCAGAACATGTTTTGAATATACCATCTTTAACACATATAAACGTTCATGGGCAAAAATCAAAATCGATAAGAAAATCTGGTTTTCTCCTGGTTGACACATATCAACTATCTATATCTGAAACCTTGAAAAAAACCCAGGAAAAGATTGAAGTGCATTCAGTTATTCTCAATAACCTTATATCAAAACAGGAACTCAAATAAACTAAACTAGTTTAAAAGTTCCAACCTGATCGATAGAATATAGTCAACGCTAAGGACATAAGAAACATAACATTTACTACTGAGAGATCAATTAAACTGGCCAAAAGTGAAAACTCAGCTTCCATGTATATGTTCATTTTTAACAAAATTTATAGATAGATATGTTTCACTTACGAGTCTTTTAGTGATTCATTCAACACTTCTTTCTGATTTAAACAGGTATAAATTCTCAAAATGAATTTCACTAAAATTTCCGTTGTCAATCTTTCTAGGATCCTCGTAACTTAAGTCCCAATTTAAATGGAACATGCGGAAATCATTCCAAGTAGAATAATACTTTAAAATTACTGTTGGTTATACATGAATACTAAAAAAAATGTATGGATAAACTGGAAACAATAACATCAGTTTTGTTATGATCTCATTAATTTCTTCCGCATTGTTTCTCTGTATACCAATTCGACCGAAGTGTAAATTAGAAAGGAATGATTTATGGATAAATTATCTTCTATTAATGCATGCTCACTCATCCCATCATATAACCAAAACCGAAATAAGTCACACAATACAGAAAACAGGAAATTTCCACATTATTGAGTAATGTAAATAAAATGAGTCGGTTAACTAATTATTTATTTTTATGCTTTTAGCTTTACATGATTATATGGGTTATATAAAATAAATGAGATAATATTCCCTGAAATGATGGAAATTTGCAGCCTAGGTAAATATTTTAATTATTATTGAACCATCTGAGATAGATGTATTAATTAAGGAGCATTAATTGGTGCTATGAATAACATTATTGGCGCCTACTTCAAATAGATGTAAGTCTTTCAGTTATTGCTCAAATGTCAAGTCAGTCGTTGTGCTCGTTTGAAAAACTTATTGTGACCAGTTGTCTTTGTGAGCTTTATCACCTTCATTTGTTTTTGCGTTCATGTTAATTAGCTTTTTTTTTTGTTGGGTTCGGAACATATGGTTGACTAACCTTTTCTGTATGAAATGACATCAATTATGTATTTATACATAACTCTTGATAAAGAATTGATATATGTAGTATAAGAACTTCGCTGTTAATTTTCTTAGAACTTTCAGATTCTTAATTTCAACATCCTGTTTGTTGTTGGTTGCCTTCTTCTAGGTGACGAAAACAAAAGCTGTGCAATTATTCCGTCTAGCTCAGAGAACGTAATCCCACCAAAAATGTTAACAGTTAAATTTTATGTGATTATGTCATTAATTTAATAACGCGGTGAAACATTTTAATTGTCTCGTTAAATACTGTATTTCATTAACAGTATTTATCACGACTGGAGTATCTACGTTCAAATTGAGAACGAAATGCTATGTAATCAACTGTTTCTAATTAATAAATCACAACAAATGAAAGAGTGATGACATAATAATCGTTTTCATTCAAACATTGTGACAAGTGTCAGTCACTGGTACAATGAAGGTTAGTTGTCAACATCGTTGATTACGACTATCTAAAATAAGAACAAATGTCGTTCGTATCTTCATTAAACATCTTTACTTACCTTGAACTAAAATCACGAACTGTCAACACTAGATAAAACGCTAGCTAAAACCAGAGACACAAATATAAAGATCATTTTGCTAAGGATGGAACGTTTACATGACTGAACAAGAACATTCGTATCAAAATTTCAGGATTCTTGACATCAATGATTCCTTAGTTATTTGTATAAGCTTTAAATAATTAAAAAAATCAGAATTGTACCCTAACTGTTATAAAGTACTTCTTCTAATGGTTTTTGTATTTTTACTTTAATGTATGAAGATAGTGTGTGTATAGATTCTTATTTACACAAATAAAATCTACCAATATTAACTTAGCTGTCTGTAATAATTTTTACTGATTTATTAAACTGGATATAAATGTCCCCAATTAACGTGTTACTTTCTTTGATAAAAATCACTTTCAATTCAAGCTACTTGTTTCATGGAGTTGTGAAATGGTGAAGCCAAGTAAAATAGTGGGTTTTGCTCCAGACAATTATCTCTAACACATACAATATGGTGAAAAACAGGTATGTTGTAACAAGGACGAATCAATATATATTGATAGATATATAGATAGACACCATGTAACTTGAGAGAAATCGGCTTTCATCATGAGGCGTCATAGTCCTTCTAAATGAAAACCTTCTAACTCCCAGGGCAGAGTTTAAATGGTTTGAGTTATTTTTTCCGGTTAACGTTTTTTTTAGCGAGGATTGTCCAGGACAGCGTTGGATGGCGAGTGCTGGTGGGTGGCCTATACTCCTCCACGAGGATTAACAGGTGTAAGTAAGTAAGTATGTAACTTAAAGTAGAGAAAGTACTTTTACACATAATTTCCACTGTGATTTATCATTTTTACAAACAGTAATTGTCAAAGTAGTGCTTATCAGTGTTCACACTTGAAATTCGTATTTTCTCCCTCTATGTTCTTGTAACAAAATCCTTAGGAACATTCAATATTCCATAAATGTATTAATACAGAGAGGTATTATAACTCAAGCTTATTTTCACACTCGTCAATGTTAATGAAAATGTCTGTTTGATTTGACAAATAACTAAGATAAAATTGATTAGTATTTAAATAGAGCAAGAAGAACAGTATTTACAGGATACAGTAAATTCGTCCTAAGTAACCATTATTTCTATAAGTATTGCATTGCATTTTATGAATAAGTAAGTTTTTGATTGAGATGTTAGACACCAACACCATTGGATGCCGGCTCAGTGGTCCTGTAGGTTAAGTATTCACACGCGAGACGGAAGACCCTGGATCGGAATCCCGCGGGCGGGATCGTGGATGTGCACTGCTGAGGGGTCCCACAATGGGATGAAACAGCCGTCCAGTGCTTCCAGATCTCCAACGGTGACCTAACATCAATCGGTTCATGATCACAATCAAAAATTTAATAATCTCCACAGACCGTATACTGGTAAATCACTTAGTTTTTCGACATCAACAGCTGAACAACCTTGGAGTTATTTGTAAATGTGAACAATGATAATTAAGATAGAAAACATGTGTTTAAAATTGAAACCGATTCATTGTCGTGATAAAAATATAAATGATTTATGTTATGAATAAAACAATACTATTAAATATTTGCTATGAATTGAATGAATCATGAAAGTGCTACTTTAGTTTAGAGGAAATACAATTATGTAAATAAACCAATATCATTGTTAGATTTCAATTTATGGATTAAATGATTATAGTTTATTTTGAAAAAAACAAACTCTAGGAATTATTATTTCTGATATCGAAACCAAGAACCAACCTTGATAAATAAGGATACTTCGAAATGCTGTCATTGGACTATAAGAAAATAGCTTCAAAACCTACCGACCGGTGATATCTTGCTATATACCGACATTTATTGTTACATCAGCAATCATGTTAATTTATTTCACTTAATGATCTAGTTAAACAGTTGCAAATCTGATATCAATGAAGCGTAAAGTCATCTGCAAGATGAACAATCTTCGATCTTTTAGGTTTTACTGGTGAATATTTTAGGGACATAGTTACTGAATACAATAAAGTAGTATCAACACTTTTCAACTATTTGTGATAAATTTTCATGGTATGAACGATTAATGTTTGTCCTTATAATCTATCCTATTACGTGAACGTTCTCAGTAGATGGACTACTTCCATATATTTCATGATTATAACTATACATTTACATGTAAAATATTTCACAATGAACACTGAGCTACTAATAAGTAGCTACGACATCTACAGTAAATTATGTATATTATTATCAGCTTTATTCAATATTATATTTTTGGTACAATATAGAATTCTCAGCACAAAGTATTTCAAAAATTTCTCGTTTCTTACTTCTTGATCGAACCTGATGATAAATATTGATTGATCACCAGGTAGAAGTTAGCAATCCAGTCAGTTGACATCTAAACAATGTACATTCTTTTCGCTGCATATTGCCAGCAACTACGATATCTGTGATTGTGCCTTTTGTAACTTGAACAACGTAAGGTTGTACACTTTTTCAGAAACGCACCTAAGTAGGTAATATGATTAATAACCATAATGGTGTACTTAAACAAACAAAGTTAGGTAACTAGATGGCAGGAACAGCTAGCCCAGATGTTCAAGCAGGGCACCATCAGATAACTGTGAGTAAATGTTAAAAATTTGTGTCACTCCTAAAATATTAATAAATTACATCACATAATATCAGAAAAATTCATTCTATCGATTCTAGCTTATGGATTTCTTAAAGTTCTCTAAACACCATATCAGATAATCAGATATATCAATAACAGATATTTCGGTATCGAGCAACACTTATTATCCGGTACTGATAAATTCCATCATAACTTTCTCCTAACAACAAACGAATATAGTTATGATAACTAAAAATATGCCTTTTGATTATAAACATTTTCACTATGACAGTTGATTGATCAATGGGTGGTGATCAATATCAAGTCCTTCTTAGTGCAGATTGAATACTACCGACCAAGTTGCAATGTGGCTAGTAGTCTAGGTGACTTGACACTGTGTACATTAAGTTGAGATAAGATGGTGGTTGGAGGTAGTCAACAGGAAACGTTTGACATGGGTTTCATGCTACTTGGCACTCGTCAGCATGGTGTACCTGTAATCTTGAGGGAACTGATGCTCCCTGACGGATTCTATCCTGTGTCACCTAACTTCATAGTCAGAGATATTATCACTATGCAATCAAAATATTTTAATGAAAAACTTTAGTTTTGTTGATTATATTCTTACGGACAAAATATTTATTAGCAGCATTATATTGAACGCAGATTATAAAGCAGAAAGTCACAATTGATTTTATTTAAGGATTTTTAAGATTTTTAAAATATTTTTAAAAATAAAAATATGGTCATTTCAATGGTTTCTCAATTTCAAATTTTCGACAATTCTTTAAGTAGTAAAGGTTTAATATATGGTACGTTTAATTTATTAGTACTTTTATTCAATTGATCATTTGATACAGACATAACAGATGGATTTTCACTTGATGTATTCAATTGAGCTAAACTAGCCGAACGTCCATGAGATTTTAATGGGTGTTCTACAAATTGAATATTCGGTCCAGGTGTACTTGCTTTTCTTTTAAATGGTAATCTAAACAAAGATTGAATACCTTTGGTTGTGGTGAATTTGTTTGAATTACTCTCTGAAACATTAAATTCTTTAGATGTATTCAAATAGACTGTATTTGATTTAGTACTGGAAAAAGTTGAATAGATTGGTAAAGTTAATTGGCTAAAATATCGTTCATTTGACAAATTATACTTTTTATCAGTTACATTATTAATTTGATAAATAGATTCATTCAATTTATCTAAATTATTATTACTCATTGAAGATTTCGAAGATTTTAACCATTTCGAATAATTATCATTTGTTATAAGGTGATTATTTTTACGATTGTTATTGTTTTGACCAATGACTTTCGGGCATTGATCAAAATCTTTTGTTAATTTTTTTGCTTGTTGAACTGATACTGGTCCCCATGGTGATTCTGTGAATTTTCTTTGTGTTAAATGACGTTCATTTTTCTCTGTAATAGGACTTTTCCAGTCATCCTGTTTAACTGGATTCTAAGTAAATATTAAAATAAATACAAGAGAGAAGCTGAATAATTTGTTATTAAAATCCGTAATCAGCTTTTTTTAATAAGAAAATAAACACAATTATTAAGAATCGATAACTTTTGTAGAGTCACACAAGTATCACTAACGATACTGAATGATTGTTATATTACTTGATATGTACTTATTAAGGTTGAGAATGTGAAATGACAGATTCTATCTCAAATGTTTATGAATAATGCTGTATGTAGTTCAATATGGATGTTCTAGGTTTCAGTTATTTGATTGAATGGTAGATGAACATTACTGAAAAGTTTGAACTAGGATAGAACACCACTTCGATGCATGTTTATTTCTAATAGATCTTTGTTTCAATTCTTGACTTAAAAAGAAAAAAACTATACATGACTGCTTGAACATTAAAACAAGAGTTCATCAAATTGGCAATTATTCAACTCCCCACTTTCAGAAGAACGTAAGATTTACATTTTACTTCATTATGACTTATGAACCAATAATATTTACAACTTTCACATTTACTGACTAAAGATTGAATAGTAATAAACAATAAATTGGATGTAAAATAAATTTATCTATTTTAATAATCCTAAGCGGCGTTACTAAAACAAAGATAGACAAAATGGATTAGAAATGTGATGAACTTGTTTTTATATAATCAACACTTACAGAATTAGAAACCTGCCAATAAATAACACTTAGTGAGCGTGTGCTATATTCGATTTGAAAATGAGTATTCCATTGTTTTTTGCAGTTAATATATAAATAGGAAAGTTTTTTGACACTCAATTTTTAACTCGATTCGATATTGTGTTCATCAATAACTGCTTGTTTTGTTCCATTTCCGAACTCCTCTGTAATACACAGTGATGACTAAACACAGGGTCGACTCTAAGATTTCCCAGTATAGAGGTTAATGGAATACCTTAAGATTACCAAGTTGAAATAACGGACTCCAGTATTTTTTCTAAACTTCAGTCAGAATACTTTTGTACATTTTGGTAATAGTATTATAATATATGCTGGTTTGTCTGTTCTCCTTCGCACAGATGCATGGGATATTCAGTATTTATCTATGGTTCCGGTTCATTTGACTGATAAATATGACCTAATATTTGGAATCGTGTACAATATATATTGGTTAACTCCCACGAGTTGTTCAAAATATCGACCAACGTGGTTTCTTAAGATAAGATTGAAACGATGACAGTTTAAAAGCAATTATAAGCAATTAAACCAAAAAAAGCAGTTAGCCCCTCCTGTAGGAGGTGTAGCAGAAGATATATGAGTTGTTGAGCAAGAACAAATTTCTTCTTTTTAATAATCAGGTAAATTAGTGATCCACTGTAGCTGCAATCTAATATCATTGACAGACATTCGTCGCCCCATAAGTCCCCCAACCATTGAGATCAATATAAAAAGTGCATTCTATAAACAAGGTTTTATTTCATATGTGACTACAAATTTCTCCTAGGTATCTTATTTTAATCTATATCTGAATTATTAGCCATCCACATCAAACCAAATATGTACTATAAGATTTTTATAGAGGCTATTGAGTTTCACAGTTTGTAGCAAAAACCAATCCTAGTTCGGTAAGTTATGGAAAAGGAGAGGCATTCGAAAGCTGCTCTTGACAAAAACCGTGACCAGTTGAATCCAACCATGTAAAGTGCTATGCAGTTATTGATTAATAATAATCATATTTGGTCATTCAATGTTGCGAATTGAAGTTGGATTTGTAAAATCTTGGATCCCAGCTCAGAGATTAATCGTCTGCCATGAGATCTTTAAGTCTTACGTTTGATCCTTAGTGGGGTTTTTGGTAGATACTGTTAAAGAATCTCATTGCAAGACGAAATCGATGTTCAATGTTTCCAGGTTATAAATTATTGTCTAATTAACATCACTCTGTGATGTAAATTATACAACAAAATTCCTAACCTCAGACGTCTTTGAAACTTAAAATACCTTCAAATTACTTGAATTGATGATTTCCGAGTATCAGTGTCAGAAAAAGCAATGATACAAACCTACCAAAGAAATAATGACATAACATAATGTGGCTTAAAGATTTATAAATTTTTAACCTCAAAAAAAAAGAGCAAAAGAGTCTATCCATTTTTCTGAAAAAGTATTGATCCATTGACAATTCATGAAAAAAGAAAACTAATTCATTTTAATGACCATAATGATATAGAATAAAAGATGAGCCTTGAATATAATTAATTGGTGTAATCCTGTACATAATCTTAAATTCAATCAATTAAGATGCATAAGCAGTTTGGATACCTCCCATTTTAGTCTACTTTCAAAACTAGAAGCAAAATTTTTAAATGTTAAAGTCCAATAAAAAAAAATTAACTATTTAATTCCCATTTAAAATTTAGATTACTGATATAGATAAAACATTTCCCATAATGATCCTTTTTTTCCCAATCTAAATTGAATATTTGGTGTATATATATTTTTTAAAATCGATTTTTCTTTAACCAAATCGCGAAATAGATAAATAGTTAGACAAGAAAAAATATGTGGAATGCTAAATGAGGTAGAAAAAAAAAAGAATACATAGCAAAAAATAGGTCTTAAATGTATATTGTCTTTGTGTGTAACAGCATAATATATGTACCTACTGGAAGTAGAATGCAAAGAGACGTGAATACGCAAAGTACATGTTTGACTACGTGTGTACATGTATTTGCGTGTGAAGTCGAACAGAGCTAGAAAATGAGAGACAGAGAAACAGAGAGACAGAGAGAGAGAGAGAGAGGAATTGAATGAATCACAATTTGTAAATGAATGATATATATTTTACTAAATACACAAAAATATTTTGAAAAATTAAGTGTAGATTTATTATTTTAAGTAGATAACAAAAGTGAAAAGAAGATACGTAGATATATATCACCATACTACGTATCAAAATATACTGGGGATTTTTTTTATTCTTTTAAATGATTAAAACAATAAATCCCACTATGTTCATACAATTTATGACTCCTCAATAATGCGTTATCATTCATTCTAATTGCATGTATAACAAAAATCTATCAAATTCTTCAATCACTCAACCTATATGAAATCATATATGGAACTAAATGGGGCTTTATATATATTTTTTTTTCAAAAAAAAAGAATAGATATGAGTGTGTTCAGGTATGTGTGCTTAGTCAAAAGTTCAAATGTTCAAAAATTTCTGTTTCTAATTGAACAAGTGAATGACACTAATTGTTGGGGTGTAAGTTCACAAATGGAATGGAAATCAATAAAATTACTAAATAATATAATGTAGTATAAATAAATGGATGAACAGCTGTTTCATTCTTTTTCTTCTTCTTCGTGTTGTTGTTATTATTGCTTTTGGCTTAAATAATTCCTTCATGAATGTCAATCAAAAAAGAAACAAAACAGAAATATACACACCGAATGAATGACTCATTATAATGAATACTCGATAATTTCTTTTTGTTTATCGAAATATTATATAGAAATTAAGTATAAGCTATTTGTTTATAGCTTGAACAATTCAACCCTACTGTATTCGTGAAATTAGTATGAGTTCAGAAGTTCATACCAGATGCTTTAACTGATGTTGGTAGTTATTTAATATACATATAGTCACGAGGAATGATTCCTAAAATTACATTCCAACAAGTCACCCCTTTTTCGGAAGAGATGAACTATTGACTATAAATTGAAGTTTTCATCATTTAAGCCCCTACACGAGTATTCAACTGTCTAGCCTGATTGAAAATGTGAGAATTCAATTAATCTTATTATTTAAAATGCAAAACTAAAGGAGAACAGTTAAAATTAACCCTACAAACTTATGATAAACACAGTGCAATGAGCCAACTAAAGTTCTAGTGATTAGAGCAGTCAGCTTTCAATTATTAGACACTAGGTTCAAACTCCATTACACCTTCTATTTAATCAATCGAGCAGCATGATTGATGTTCCAGTAAACATGCTACTCCTAAAACCACGTGTACAAAGAAATGATACATGATTAATGATTTATATCTAATACACACAGAATATTTTTAAAAATTTGTTATTTCTCTTAGAATACCCTGAAAAATTTCCATCCCTTACATTTAATACAATATGAAAATGTGAAACATGAAACATACGTACTTATTACTGGTCAGTAAATACAACTTAGCAATTAAATGCAGCTTATTGTACACAGCTAAAAAACAATCCTTTTTAATTACAGTCTTTCTATATAGTCTGACTGTTTGAATTGACATGAAATGAGCAGGCTTCATTGTATTAATTAAAGTCAAATGAATTAAGTACTAAATCATGTTTACAGATCACTTGTAATTCCTTACAGGAATAATTTATACAGTGCCAAATTGAATAACTACTTTTAAGAAAATACAAAACAATAAAATGTATAGAGAATTAACTATTGAGATTATAAATATACATAAGTTTACCGAAACTACTCAATAAATCAATTAACTGAATAAATGAATATAATAAAATTTACAAAAAAAAACTTTATTCATGAACAGATTATAGCGATAAGTTGAAAGGGGTAACTGAAGTTAAATCGGTTTGTTAATGTATATCATATTAATAAAGTTTCTAACATACTTGATTTATATGGTAGTGGTTGATGACTTTCAATTATTCTTCTAAAACATAGTCGATCAATACAATTACCATTAGCATTCAGCATAATAATCGTTAACCAAAGTACATTTACTAGCACTTTTATCATTCAATACTCTTGACCTTAATATAATAATATAATAGTATACAAAGATTACAATAGAAGTACACTAACATTTATTCACTAATATCAATTGCTTTTTTTTTAAAAACATTAAACAGTATAAACGACTAAATAAGTGCTCTGAACATTTCAAGTTTAAAGTAGAGCTGTATACTAGGCTTAGATGACCAATGTTATAGTATTTATTAATATAGCTGAGAAGAATTTAGTATGATAAGAGGATCATCAGGGGTTTTAATGACTGTAACCTAAGGATAATGTATTATACTTTATAGCTGAATAGATTCAACAAACTAAAGAGTTGTAGTGCTAAAAGTTCCATTAGCATTAACAATAATTTGAATTATATGTGATCGAAATAAATCCGAATTCATTGAAACGATGTCTAAGTTTTAAATATGAACATAAATCCTTGGTAACTTAAAAGTATGAAGATTTCGTTTTTGTATCGAAATATTAGGTTATTTTACTGTTTGCTGGATTTAACTAACATATAACCAGCTGAAACATTAATAAACAGAATGGGTTTTGTGAAGATTTTAGAAATTTCACAGATTGAAATCATGAGTCAGTTGAAGCTCAACCACCATTGAAAACCTGGCGCAACTTCGTGGATTGGTTGAAGTTAGACATTAACACCGTTGGATGCCGGCTCAGTGGTCTAATGGTTAAGTGCTCGCGCGCGAAGCCAGTAGGTCCTGGGTTCGAGCCCCGCGTGGTGCGGGATCGTGGATGCGCACTGCTGAGGAGTCCCATACTAGGACGAAACGGCCGTCCAGTGCTTCCAGGTTTTCAATGGTGGTCGAGCTTCAACTGACTCATGATTTCAATCTGTGAAATTAATAAACAGATTTTAAAATAATATATTTAAAGTACCGAAATGTTTACAGTACAAGTATAATGACACTAATATATTCTTTTGATCTTTCTTAAATCTAACCAGAAACAACGGAACAATACTGGTAATTACTATTCACATGTAAAGTCTCACTTTCAATTCATTAGTGAATACATAATAAACAACAATCCTTAGTACGTTTGGTATACGTTTATCAATAGAATTCAGATCTCATTAAAAACAATATTAACTCAATAAATTCTGGATTATTTTATCAGAAATAAACTAACTAAGAATCTCAAGTTTCATAATAAAAACAAGATTACTACTATTGGTAATATTATTATTAGCTTTATTCAATATTATATTATTGGTACAATATAGAATTTTCAGCACGAAGTATTTCAACGAGTTTCCTTCCCTTATTTCTTCATCTATCCTGACGACAAAAATTGAGTGATCGCCAGTGTCATGTTAGCAGTTCATGAATCGACATCTGCATAATAATGTACATTTTTCTGGCTGCATATTGTCAGTAACCACGATTTCCCTGATTCGGCTTTTTTGTAACTTGTACAGCGAAATATCATAAACTTATGACAAACACAGCTGAGTAGGTTATGATTTTACTAGACATTATGATGTGTTAAAACAAACAAAGCAAAAAAAAGAACAGATAACTTGTTGAAATATCTAGGTGGCAGGAGCAAGTAGCCCAGATACTTAAACAGGCCGCCATTATTAATCATGATGCTTACAAATTTTACATCTAAAAAAAGTTGATTTATTGTCTAGACTTTATTTACTTACTTTAACTAAATCAGTTACTTTTATTTTGTTACTGTGTTGTGCATAATTTTTTTTATTAATTTACAAAAATCTTGGTACAGTGAAAGAAATCTTTCACCATTCTCGATGTATATTTATATTTATATCGAGTACGTAAGCGATAAGACAGTAAAAGCACGTTATACATTGATAAGTAAAACATTTAGATAAAATTGTCAAAACATATTGCTATGTGACATCATCACCTGAATAAGCTGTGCTCGAAACTGTGAATATATTTTATCAAACCAAATCCCTTGAAAGTATCTTTATTTACACGATTGTAATAATTTCACTCAATCATTAGCAGTTATATACATCCTCGATGAATAGTTGGTTTGAATTTAACGGCAAATATAAATACCGTTATATGGGTACATTCAAGCGATGAGTCCCAAATAGAACGAAACATAGTTATGAGTACCACCTCTAGTTTCTATTGATAAAGATAATATAATTTGATTATCCTTCTAAACTCTATAAATAAACATCTCTAAATTCACGACTTATATGATATTGAACCATATTAATCGACTAGAGGATTGTAAATAAACCCGGTTGTATAGCGATTCCCCATTACTAATCAAACTTCATTATGAATAAACTCACATGTTTTTTTATAGTATATGATGAATTATTTTAAGAAACTATCTGGTTTCATTTGTCGTTTTTTTTAAAAAAAATCAGAAACGTAATGAGACATAAAGCATTTGTCACATATACGTCAATAAAATATTTTGCCAGAAAAATCATATCCAAAACTAATTTCATATTTGCTTTTAGAGAAGGGGTGGCTACTAATACACATTGAGTTTCTATGTTCTTCATAATCATCTGTTTCTTTTTCAGAATAACTTAGAAATTTAATGTATGACAGACTGAAACTTATTTTTCGACAATGAAATCCTTGCAACCCATTCTTCTGAAAAGTCAACACGTGAGAGTAACTAGTTAAAGGTTACAGAAATTTCAGTTGTTTTATTTAAAATTAATTTATCATGTTAGAAGTGAGTACGTATGAGTGAAAGCATTGAACAATTGACCTGCACATTCTTGAAATAACTGGGATTGAAAATGTAGACCGTTGGATTTCCATTTCTATAGTCGAAAGCTAACATGATCATTGACAGAAATAAAGGTCCCTAGTTAGATCATGGGTTACAGACTACGACAGAATACCTAATTTGAATGCACTTCCTTTTGAGGATTGTTAATTGCACGATGAATAAACCAAACTAAATAGAAAGTTGTAACTTGTTAACAAATATTTATCTTATCAGAAGGGCTTTGTGGAGATTTTAGAAATTTCACAGATCGAAACCATTAGTCAGTTGAAGCTAGACCACCATGGGAAACCTGGGAGCACTGAACGGCCGTTTCGTCCTAGTATGGGACTCCTCGGCAGTGCACACCCATCCAACGGTGTTAATGTCTAACTTCAACCAATCCACGAAGTTGCGCCACCTTATACCATTGTCTTCAGTGAGTTGATATCTCACAACAGATCTGGTTGAACTCCACTGGTAACGGCCTACCACTAGAACTCCAGGAGTATCTCTTGAAGTTGGTCACTGGTGAGCAGATGATGCCGGCTCAGTGGTCTAATGGTTAAGTGCTCGCGCGCGAAACCAGTAGGTCCTGGGTTCGAATCTCGCGGGGTGCGGGGTCTTGGATGCTCACTGCTGAGGAGTACCATACTAGGACGAAACGGCCGTCCAGTGCTTCCAGGTTTTCCATGGTGGTCTAGCTTCAACTGACTCATGATCTCAATCTGTGAAATATTTATCTCTTAATTTTCACACGACATGGCTCCGTTTGTTTTACATCGGTAAAACGATTTGAAAAATAAAAAAAATAAAGACCAGAAAATGATGAAAAGCCAATATAAGTGAAAATAAATAATGTTGTGTTCAATGATCATTTAAGTCTCAGCATTAAAAATCCAGAATCGGGAAACCGTCTAATGATTGATTGTTGATTTTAGTAAATATACTGTTCAATGTTTTAATGAAAACGACTAATTTGTCAACACAAACATCGATCGTAAACAGGTAAGGTAAGTATTCTACTTCTAATAATATCTATTAATGTAACATTAAAATAACACATAGTTATTTTGCGAAGTTGGCACTAATTCTCTTAGATTACCTAAAAAGAATATTTTGGAAGAATTTCATACAGAACAATAATCTATGAATGAAACATTCACCTAGCTTACTACAGTGTTTAAAATTACCATTATAATTAATAATCTACAACAGCAACAACAAAAACTACCATAAAGTCGTAACATATAATAAAATAACCAATTTACAAAATACATATCAACTAACCTTTTCCGTAGGTGATCGACAGTCTAATTCTGAACTATATACTGGATATGATTGTTGTTCATCTATAATTGATCTTTTCAAATTTTCATCTAAATTATAAATTTTCTTTTTAGAAAAATCTTTCATTCCAGTTTTCTTTTTAAAATTATTTGTAGTTTTATAAAATTCTGTTTTAAATATTTTAGGTTGACAAAAATGTTCATTTAATTGATAATGTAATGAGTTCAATAATGAAGATTCAGAAAATTTTATTGTTTTTTGTAGATCACTTATGATTTGGCTAGCATTTTGAAGTTCATTAATAACTTGCTTGTCGAATTCATGTAAACAAGTCTAAAATTGAATTTAATAAAACAAAAAAATAAGGATTTACAATTATGAAAATCTATAAATTGAATTGTAAACAAACACAATATATCTAATTACTTATATGTTGTAAGTTATATAACTTCAGATCTAATATAAAGAGAATGAAGGATACCTTTAATGTAATAGTGGATCTAATGTGATTAAATAGATTGATGAATAATACACAACAATATTTAAATGATTGAGATCATGAACCAATGGATGTTAGACCACCATTGAAAACCTGGAAACACGGGACGGCCGTTTCGTCCTATTGTGGGACTTCTCAGCAGTGCGCATCCTTGATCCCGCCTCGCGGGACTTGAACTCAGGGCCTTCGGTCTCGCACGCGAACGCTTAACCTACTGGACCACTGAGCCGGCATCCAATGGTGATAGTGTCTAACATCAACCAATCCACCAAATTGCGCGACCATCTTTCATTGTACTGAGGTAGATACCTGTCTCTATCCGACATGAATTAGCTCCACTGGTCACGGCTTCTCACTAGAACTCTGAGAATCCCCTCACGAAGCTAGTCACTAGTGAGCACATGTTAATTACTAGTATAGGGGTTGTGGAGATTACTAAGTTCATGATCTCAATCAAAAACTCAATAATCTTCACAACCCCTATACTAGTAATATTTAAGTGATTACATCTCTAGACAAACATGAAGTGACAAGGTGGAAGCTTGAAGCAGATCTTGTACGTCTCAAGAAAAGATATTAGTCATCAAGACAATAACGTGCTCACTTTTTTGTATGGTCACTAATGACTTCAGTTTACCAATATTTGAAAAAATAAACTTCTTATTCTCCCTTTTTTAAAGTGATTAAATACGTACTTAAATAAATTAATGTCACGACAATTGTTTAAACGACTTTAGTGAGCATAGGACTCCTCAGAAGTGTTCACCAAATAATTCTACCATAGTTCGGAACCATAACTTGAAGGTAGTTAATGTTGCACCACTCACTTGTCTTGAAAGGATTACAAATCAAACTTCAGTCCATTCGGGATTATTCATTATCATCAGTAATAATTATTTGACTCCATTGATCATTATCACTAAGTAAAAAGTTGGGAATATATCTAAAAGTTATTGACTAGTAAATGCTGTGCCATTGTTAGAATGTAACGTTTGTAAAGACTGTTCAGTATTCACAGCAAAGAATGATCTTAGCTACCTAAGAACTGTAAACTATAAAGCACTAGATAGCTATTTCCCAATGGTTAGATAACTATAGAATTACTCCGTGTTATAAACTACGTTCACGATAAACAATCTTTCTAAAACTACCATCCTACAAAATACTTCACTATTTAAAGGAAGTAAATATTACGTTTCTTAAATTACCACTAGATATTGCAATGTGTAAATTTTTGACCAAAAAACTGCTATTCATAATAAATCTTCCTGACTAAATAACCGACTAACTTTATCACTTTATCGATTACCAATTAGTGAACAGTGACTAATTCATACGTTTTGTATTCATTTACTAACTTTTGAATGCCTATAATTCAAGGGTGGATTCGCTTCAGAATTTATTCTATTAGCTATTAGGTGTTAAATTAATATTTACATTATCAGTACTTCGATAAAAATCAAAGGTCATATTATTCATTTGATAAATAAACATATTTGACCAACATATAGATTGGTACATAAAATTAAAAACAACATGTGATTTATAGTTTTACTATCTTTGCTAGGTGTTATTAAACGGTTGGTACTGCTGTATTAGCTAGAAATGAAGAACATAGCTTCTGATCACCCCAGAATGCTATTTAAATGAAAGTATACTTCTCAGAATTATTCACTTCAGTCATTGTACAGAGCTCATTATTAGATTTACTTGTAAACATTCTCAAATAAATTCTATTGTTTCATACTTCGGTTCCAATTTTTATGATAAATTTTTTACGTTTCAAGCTATAGATTTGTATTTAACAGTATATTTTCCACGTAAACATTAGTTCAAGCAAAGATAGAAACCGCCATATATCATGTTCAGTACATACGAATCAAATTACACGTACTTTAAAAAAGCGTGAGTTAGGAGGATTGTTAATTCCGCATCTACACCTCTATTCGAAAGAACCTATGCCTCACATGTTTCACATAGCAAAATTTCAGGTTTCTTGTTGAATTCCATTAGTAGTGAAACACAGATACCTTAATCGCAGTCGTACTAAAGAGGAACATATCAAAATAAATTAGCGTCTTAAGAGATTATGAAAAGCCTATTATATTTATGTATACTTTAAGCATACCTGTATTAAACGATGAATTATTGAAAAAAATCAAGTATATATTTGAAGGCATGAAATAAATGGACTTAGAAGATCAACAAGTAGTAATATATTGACGTGTTTTATGTAAAGTTTTATAAACTTCGACATGATATTTAAAGTTGTTAATTGACATTTGTTAGGAAAACCAGACGGCACTGAACAGCTGGAATGAGACTCTGTAGTATTATAGAAATACAAGTTCACACTAGTTTGGGACCAGGATCTAAAAGTTTGGTGACAGGAATGATACTTACAAACTAATAAACTGGAATTCAGTATTTCATTGGATAAAAATAATAATGATATGTGCATTAACAACTGATCTGGAACGAATTAAGTTTAGTTACAGAAAACCATTACTGAGATAGATAATCAAATCAAATAGTAACTTATAGGGGATTGTTCATAATCCAAAAAAGACTAGACCAGAAATATTAAACAGTTAAACTTCATTACACCTGTTTAAAATCATCCTGGAATCTGTTCATCTTTTGATAATGAATAGGAAATAATAAAAGTTTTAAACTGTATGCTCCTGATTCTCTATAATAATGTCAGTTTGTGATGAGAACCATTAGTTATTCAAGAGAGTTATATGTTGAGTCAGTTCTCTTAACATTTGATGTGTTAGATACAATTCCTATGAATTATTACGATTTCTAAACTGGATGAACTAAACTGCCTTACTTGGATCATTAATTATTTCCAACTCACCTGATTTATCATACATTAGTCATTCAGGAAACAGTTTTTAAAGTTGATTTCCTTTTTAATAACAGCATTTATGGTAAGCATTAGTTTTCAATGAACACGTCCCTTATATTTACAGAATTTATAATATAAACAGTAGATGAAATGATTAATCAGTAATGAAATATAACTAGAGTGATTTTTAGGTAATTAGAAAAAACTGATTTCAACCCATTGCAATGTGAAGTTTCCATCTACAAAACATCTTAAGACTATCGATAGCTCCCATGAATTGACTGCAATATGGAGTCTAGTACAAGCACTCGTATATGGTAACTGAGTTTAAATGTGTGCCCCTTCCTGCAATACATATATGTATATACATCAGAGCGGCAGGTTAAAGAAATAAAGAAAATAAATGAATTAAACTCTTATATTTAAGTGCAGATTTCCTTAAAATAATTCAAAAACAAATTTGATCGTTTCATCATGATCTCTATCACTTTTTATCTGTTTATATGTTGGTACCATATAGAGGATTGTGTTAGACAAAATTAAACAAAGAAACATTGAACAATTAGCAGTTTTCTTCAGTGAAGATAGAGATTATGTTTTGTGTTTTTATCTTTTAAGTATATTGTCATGCTTATTGACATTGTTGTTTGTATGGTTTGATAATTTCTGTTTCTTTTTTTATTACTAGCTAGTCTAATGAATATTCAAAGATTTATGATACAACAGTTTGACTTTTTCTTTTACCCTGAACAAAACATTATAAACTGAGAATTGGATAACATGGATTAAAAATAAGTTAAAGTAATTTTGCCCAAAAAGTCTGTTTTGTTTACTAATATTTCCATTTTATACTATTGCTTCATCATAAAAAAAAGTCATTTACAAGAAGTATCATTCGTCTGATTTATTCAACAGTAAAAGTTTAAATAAGAAAACTTCATTTTTATTATTCTATGTCGGTTTCATTTTGAATAAATCTGTTTTTGCATTTTCTCCCACCTTAAATCACAAGAATCTAGTTGATGAAATTCAATGAAATCCAAATCTCATCTGCTTCTTATTATCAGTAACTGTAAACTAGTTCATATTTGTTTTTTTTTAAAGTTTTTAATTTGATTTCAATGTCACATTTAGGAAGAAGGATAAGTAAATGGATTGGTGAATTCGTATTTATCGAAAAACTTAAATTAAAATTATCAGACTCGAAGTTTTAGTTCCAGTACATTTAATTCGATTTAGGACATTGTTCAATGCTACTAAGTTTAACATACAAAAGCATATAAACATAAAGGATGAGGGGTAATATTCTGTTCAAGTTTCTAAAAGCTATGAGAAAATTCCTCTTAGTTTCAATGAGATTTGACTAGCAAAGGCCAAAAAGAAATAGAGAACGATATCACTGATGAAACGGTAATGGTTCATCAATGTCATCAGATGACAATATCGGCTCAATAGTCTACTTTTAATGGCTTGAGGATCATGAATCTAGAGAGATTATGGTTTGGCACCGATGTTAAAGGCACAACAACTTTCAGTGCTTCCTTGTTCTCAATGATCAAAGTTAGTGAGTGAGGCAAACTGTCTTGACAAATCTATCATTATGATCTTAGGGGTTGCAAGAGACAAAAAGCTATTAAGCTGTTTTCTTTAAAACCATTTATGAACCGCAGAAATAAGTTGGATTGCAAGCTATTAAGAATTTAAAACTTCTCAGTCTTTCTTCTAACTAACCTGGAGCTTCCCTACAATCCATAGTTGTAACAACTAACTAACTAGACCTCTGGTAATTGATTTCACTTCTAGAGGTATGTACAAAATAAGATAAGTAAGATACTAAAACGGTACTCATAAAGACTCATTCAGGTATTATTCCACTTTGTACATTTTCCAAACTATTGCCTCGAAAAGGGGTTAATTTTATTATATACACAAATTTGTTCAACAATATGAACAGTTTCAATCCAAGACATTGTTGTGGTACAATCTACTTAGGAGTTTATTTTGAGCTTATTATCCTTCATTATTGCGAACAAATCTGAAATTAAAATAATCAGTCTGACAACTAAAACTATGTTCGTTGATATAAGTACTAACCTACATTTTTTAAGACGATGTAAACATAAATTGGATAGGGAAGAACAAAATATTTACAGTATCAGAACTCTGAAATAAACTGATTCGAAAATATTACTGAAATATTTCCTCAGAGTCTTTATGATGATACTGTAATGTAAATAAGCAGAGATCTAAAAAAAACAATGTAGCTTTTGTGAATCATTATTAGTGTTATTATTACAACTATACCAAATATTATACTTAATCACATAGTCACAAACAGATTCACGTTTCACTATTGCCACCATACTTGCTATTTGTCAACATACACCGGTAACGAGAAGCAATTAGATTACATTAGTCAGTGACAAACATATTTAGGAAAAAGGTGGACTTGCCAAAAAAAATACAAAACCATTTTCAATGATTCATCACATAAAATGGGTTATTTATTAGAAAACAAAAAAACATTTACGTATTTATCGGTTGCTTTTTTCCATTGAATTTACTGGACCGTTTGCAAAAAATTCCAATTTTGTTTATCAACCTTCTACATACTAATTTTTATTAACGTTATTTTTCAAATTAGTGAATGAATATACTTTTAAAGGAAGAAGGGTATGAAGAAAGAGAAAAAGAGGGGAAAAAATAAAATAAAAATGAGAATAAAAAATTACAAGTGAAAAATATATAAGACATCGGGACCATGGTAGAAGAAGAGTTTGTACCAGTCGCTTTTGCACACATAATCCTGGTCTTCCTAGATGTATGGCTAATGCCTCGAAAATGCAAAAATGATGCAGTCTAATTGTTCTTGGGAGACTTCTACTTACCTTATAGATGACTTTGATCGCAAGCTCTGTCTTGATTGAGTAACCTAGAAATCTAAACACACTTGCCTTGTCCAAGTCAGTGAATCCTCCGTAGTACGTAGTAACAACTCCGCTAAGAATTAAATCATGATCCTTCAATTGGCCGAAAAGAAATCTAGAGGTGTGGATTTTAAACTTTATTTAAGTGAAAAATAATTATCAAATTCCATCAGTCTAACCGATATCTCACATCCATCATGGCTTATCTTCACTGACCACAAAATTTCACCAAAATTTTGGAAATTCATCTCCAAGTTACTTTTCATTGGTCTAAAGGCAAGACGCTCATCTCACAAACTAAATATCGTAGATTCAATTCCTGGTCATATTTTGGAACCCTACTGTCTTCTTTTCCTCAACAAAGACTTAAACGTTTGATCCATCTAATGAATGATATCTTCATTCGATGAAGACTAACTCATTTTCTTAACCTAGTGATGGCACAAAAATGAGTCTGTTAAACATCAGTGTACATCACTTAATATTTATCTACGATAGAGTGAAAGTGTAAACATCATCATTAACATTTTTCAGGATAAAATTTAAAACAGGAAGAAATGGATTCGTAATTCACAAGAAGCGAGAACACTAATCGAAATAACTTCATATGATGATGCTATTTAAGAAATTATTTGACCATAATGTGTCTTAATGATGAACCTAACAGACAAACACCAATGTGCATAACTAGGATGAACTATAATTTGTTCATGATAGTAAATTTATTAATAATTAAACAGAAAATATTTTTATTCATTTGAATAAATGGAGTTTTAATAAGTTATTATTGTCATATCAAAATTAAAGAAATGATGAAGTTTCAAGCATATAATAGATTCAAAGACATCAGTAAGTTACAACTTATGTAGTGGATAAATATGCATCATTAAGATACACGAACATTTATTTTTCCCCCTTACTTCTATTCACACCCATTAGATATTTAGGTGGATTGACAAACATCTGGAATTATAAGGCCTGGTCTCAGTACAGTGTGGTCAAAGCACTACCCCTTTCAACCAATGGGTCATAGGTTCGAGATTAATCTGGCACTTTCGATCTAGGCATTTAGTTAGTTCCACAAGCTTTCATAAAACGTTATTACTTAGAATGCTGTACATCAACCCTCAGTAAATGAGTTACATTAAGCTTGTCGTCAGTGGTGTAATGGGAAATAATGCGAAATTCCCAACCAAAGAAGAACATAAAGACGAACTAAAAATTATCCCATTTTGCATAACATCCTAAATCTACACTTGAGAAATGGTATTTATTCCAAATTTCTTAATTTTCATTACCAGAATTCGACACAAAACATGAATTGTCAGAGAAATTAGAACCTATAACAACTAAAGACACATCACGTTCTAGTAATCAATCCATTTCCTACGTCTAATTTATCCATTAAAAATGGTAACGATGTTCATCTTAAGAAGTGAACTTCAGTATAAGTTAGTATTACTTATAAATAAAATGATCACTTTTTAAATAACACCAATGGAATTGAATTATGTCACACAATATTGGGGATTAAATGAAGTTCCCAATACAAATAACTGGATTGTGATTCAATAGTGTTTAAAAAAAGCGGTGAGACTAGAATATTCTAAACCCGATTTCTATTAGCGCAATGTATGCGAACTCAGATTTAACAACCGAAAACCACTCCTTAATTGTCAACGGTCAATCACTTAATATGAATTCTTGATAAAAGTTAACTTCAGTCTGAATTGATCTTCACAAAACTCCCTCTCAATCTATAAGAAAAATAATTTAATAATTCCTAATGTCATGTTTAATTTTCTATATAAAGAAAAGGATAATAAAATGTCAACGCTCTCATAAAACTGCTTACCAACTTTTTAGTTATTTGATGAAATAAACCATTGATAAGTTGACATTGATGTTTTGTATTGTTTATTGTTTTTAGCATAGTTGAATTCACTGATTCTATAGGTGGGTTAGTTGTTGTGGTTGTTGTTGTTGCTGCTGTTGTTATTATTGAATTGTTTGATTTATTTCTTTGGCACAACTTTCTAGACTCGACTGATGAATCTCTGACAGGTGGATACATGCGAGGAAAATGATGATATTGTTTATGACCAAATTGTTCTTTACTAAAATTATTATTATTATTACTCAATAAGTGCTCATTTTGTGTTTTTGATTTCTTTGAATCGATTGTAGCTTGATAACTTGAAATAGATGAATTAGAATCATCTATTGGTAGATTATGTGGGATAGTTGATGTTTTGTGATTTAATCGCTTCACATAATTAAATGCATCGATTTTCTCTAAGTCATCATTTTTTAAGTTATTGTCATTGTAATCTAAACCATTCTCCCTAAACTGTTTCAGTAACCAGCTCATAAGATTCTCTTCATCATTATAATCATCATCACTCTTATCATCACTGCCGCTATTACTGTTAACTACCTTAACGTTATCTCCATCACTATTTCTTAATGGTTCATAATTTTTCCGAGCTAAGTGAATAAAATCACTATTATTAATATTATCTTGATGAATATCAACTGTTACTTTTGTGCACAGTGAGGGCAGTAAATCCACATCAGAACAATAACTTTCACGATAACGTGATAATCTACTCCGATCATTAGATGAAGTCCATTTTCCTGTTTTATTATCATTATGCACATCATTTAAATCACCAATATTTAGTTCTTCAAGCATTTTATCTTAGTGGTGCTTTTTTCCCTTTTGTAAGTTAATTATCTTTTCTATAAATAAATAAAAATGAACAGAATGGTTAACAATTATAATTAGACACGCCAAACAGTATGAATGTGTTCATGCCCACAAGTAATTATGTACATCAAACATGTTTGAACATCACACTGTAAATTACAACTGTTGATATGCCAGAGTATTTTGATCAAAATCACTTTTGAAATAGGTCATTTTCTGTTCAATTTAACATTGTTGTATCTTGAATAAACCAACATAATAATATTGAAAATTACTAGAGAAGATCAATATGTAGCCAGTAATGATTAAGAAATTCATGAAATGCTAAAAGGAATTAATAAGTAGAACATATTGTAAAGAAATAACTGTTTTTGTCAGGATAAACCGTTTGATTGAGGGCTGGGATAATGCCGAGGATGAAATGGCTTCTAAGAAGCTTGACTTCAGAAAATATTCGGAAATATTTTAAGCAATAAAAACATCGAAACGATAGATTTACATTTACTCACGTAGTGAGTATTTTCAAGGGAATAAGATTAATATGTTTTTAGTTTCGTAGAAGTAAGCTTGTATGATCGCGGTTTGTAGTCATTGAACAGAGTAGTACATTCAACTGACTAGTCAATATTGCAACAAAACAAATCTCGGAACACGTAACATCATAATATCAAGTTTAATGTGCAACTTGCTTACACACAAAGCGATTAAAATGGAATCATTCCCATATATGACCGAGCCTAAAACTTAAATTCTGGAAACGAAAAACACCGATTATGTATTTTGCAGTATTTTGGTGCATAACATGGATGTAACATGTTATACTAATTAAGTCATTAAATGTATTTTAGCATAAAGGTAATTTACTTATTTTTAACATTTTCAGCTTAACGCATATGTTCACCTGTTAATATGAATCACTTCATAAGAAGACAAAACCAGTAAATTTGTTAATTAAGACTTATGTATTTGAATATCTTTTGGATGAATCAGTCATATATATCCTTAGTAGAGGATCTTGTTGGAGCTGAAGGAGTTGTTTTATTAAGTCTAGTTCGACTAACGTATCTGAAAGAATGTTCAAATGTAAAACGGTGAAATTTCAAGGACCGTCATGCAATATTAACGACTAGTATGGCAATAATATATTTAAAATTAATTAGAAGTAGGTTACGCCTGCTTGTACACAAGTTGTTCATTTTAGGACCTTTAATTGCCAGTTAAACGGGGTATAAGGTAACCGATGGGGAGTCATAGGAATTGGGAACCGCTATATATTATATGTTAGGATAAGGCATAGTAACTTTGTTATTGAATTATGTCCTTATCAGTTTATCCACACATTTTAATCATTTTCAAAATAAAAATCTTTTTTTTCGGTTATTTCTGATTTACGCCATCATTTAATGAACATTTATTGATTACTATTAATTTAGTATGAGTGTTGGCTTGAGGAACCATTGTGAATTGGTAGAATCAGTTTGCAAATAACTAACCATATATCATAATTTATCATGATTTACATAAGTGAACACGTGTAGATTGTTGAGGACATCAACAAACATATGGTCGCATTTCTAATTAGCTTGACTACCCAAATTCTTGACTAATACTAAATTCTGCCATAATATTACAAAGTTCGGATGATATCGAGTACAGGAAAGTGAGACTTAAATTTTTTCATATTGTACCCCATATCACTAGAAACTACGTAACTATGAATCGATATATCTACCACAGTATCAAAATGATAACTTTAAAACTGAATTAGTTACCATGTGAACTAATTAACTAAAACAGTTAATTGATAAAATAAATAAATATTGCTATTCATTTGTAACAATACAAAATATGACTAATGTTTATTATAAAGTTCACAGAAATTAGTGTAAGATCATATCATTCCTTATTTGTTCTAATAAGAATCTTATATTTATAAAGTGACTTTTCTAGATTTATTCAGTATTTTAGTAATATCATTAACAATCAAATATCTTTTTTTTTCTCTCTTTTTTTTAAAGCAACTAATCAATAAATCTATGAATATTTATGAAACTTATCTGCTAATCATCTTCTCTCAGTACCCAAATTATTAATTCACGTAATATTTAACGTTTAGTGAATGAAATTAATTTAGCCTTACAGTTCAATCACCTGACTCAAATCAATTTTTGTTATTGTTAATAGAATATTGTGCACTTATGAGCACATAACTACCTTAATTAATAGGGTTTGTTAGAAATAAAGCACATGACAACTAGATAAATCATTTGCTTATAAAAGTATTGCTTGAAATGATTTTATGATTTAGTTATTGTGAAGAGTGACAAAAATTAAAGAATGTTATATTGTATGATAATTTTTTTTGAAATCATTTAATCTATATGAAACAGGATGTTTAAGTTGAAATATTCTGGATATTTAATTAGTAGTATACGTAGTGAATTTGACAATTCCTTCAATGACAAACAATCCTCTACTATGAAACTCTGGTACGTAAGATTATTTACAATTAATAGATGTACGTAACTAGTGTTGTAATAGAATTGTCATTATTGAAAGTGATTAGAAGAATTCAGTAGTTTATAAGTAGTATAGTACACAAGTGAATGTGAAAGACTGTGCTTGAATTCATCTCGTCTAGAAAAGAAAAAGGAAAATAACCACAAAATAATTTGATGTTTTAATTAGAGTTTGATCATTTAAATGAGATCTCTTCTACTTATAATTATCATTGAGAAATTGTGTATTTATGTAATGCTTATTCTTTGGTTTGACAAACGAAAATTCAACAGAGAAATATACAAGAGAAGTAAATGAAAGTGACTGTGTTTTAAGGTTTCTAAATTATGGGAATTTGCTACAGATAAAGGTCATTTATAGTCTAAAAAAGGTAAAAGAAGACATGCATTAGATCAAGATTTCTTACCGATATCTTCGAAATTTTTACTGCTTGGCATTTTTGACCCCGTTTCAAATATTTCAGAAATCCAAGATAGACAGATTAATCGTAACTTATTAAGTCAATGAATTAGAGAGTGAGATATAAACTTATCAATGACCCCATTGAACACTGCTTTCTAATTGAAGTTCAAAATTCATGAACATGGGATACAAGCTCAGTGATTTGGTGTTGTATCTGCATTTAGATCTGAAAATCAGGGGTTCTATCCTGTGTTGAGTAGCAGCTGAGTACCACTGAAAAGTTTGTTTGTGATCCATTCTTTCTCAACTTATAATTTGCTAATAAAACAGATGTGCTCATTAGCATATATATATGTAGCGACCCGTAAGAAGCCGAAAAAATTTCATTCAGAATGTATTAGTATTCATAAATTCACCCCATCAATTCTGTCATCCAATTACATCTTTATTTATAATTGCTGGTTTCAGTTTACATTTTTAAATACCAAAATATGAAAAACGTGCCAGATACAGTTGTTCTTAGTGACAATATTTTTTAAAGTGAATTGAACATACATTGTGTTCAATTATGTTGGATATTTAAAAGCGACTGGCAGGAAGCCCTGAAGTAAGATTTAAATTTAGTTGACACTCTTCAGAAAGCCTTATCAGCGACCTATGTGCCTTATGTCTAGGATTTTAAAACTTTCTAATATGAGATGCTACTAGTGAGCCATTCGAAGGACAACTGATTTGATAAATTTTGCATTAGGTGATCACTGAGTAGAAATCGATGTGACGCTTGTTGATTACTTAGTCTTGATCTAATTCTATCAGTCCTGTCAGTACAGTCACTGGTTTACGTAAACTAACAATACGTGAACTATTTTAAATTGTTTCTTCAGGTCAAAAGATGTTGTAAGTGAACATTGTAAATAACAAAACGTCAATTAGAATGATCTTAAGCTAGCAGGTTTTATACGTATGTGGTGCATTTCGTTTTTAGCATGAACTCATACCCGAACTAATTAAAAAATATCTGTCAATCAGATTGAATGGTTGGTAGTTCTGATCAACACTTTAGTAACTATAAAAATCCATATCAGATCCATTTAAAAAATTATATAATCAGATTAAATTAATAATACACCCAGAAATTAAGTAACTAGATATAGAATAGATTATGTTCAGGTTTAATGATATGTTGTATTCAACTTAAATCCATATCAATCAATGATCTAACTATTAAATAATCTATTAAGCAAATCATCTTGAGTTTTCAATTAGGTGGAATAGCTGAACTCTTTGAGTTTCAGGTAATAACTGATATACTTATACGCACACCAACAAAGAATTCAATAAAGTTAATTAACAATAGTCACTACTGTATTCGCCTTTTGAATTCTATAAAGTCACTATCATTTATTTGAGAAATGAAATCTTTATACAAATACAGCGAATTCTTGCTCTGTTTTCTAGATTTAAATTTGTTAAGTAAAGAGTAATTTTCAGTATCTTCAAAATGAATTACATAATATTCTTTGTTCAGTTTCATTGTAAGACATTTAATTTGTTAAAAGAGGGTTGCATTCATGGACAGTCGATATGAGTTGGGGAAGTATTAGGTACCAATGTATACTGTGTGACAACTTTCCTTAAATTTTAAGCTTCAAACTCAATACAATACAGGACTCTTAAACCTCATAATGTACATGTACAACATCATTCAATTAATGAATCGGAACCCAGTGGCTGGCATTTATCATTAGAAGTTAATGGGTAATTTTCAAACATCAGTACATGACAATAGCGACCATCAAATGAAAATTATCAAAATCAAGACTCTGTTTAAATAAAATAATTAAGCAGAAACACAGCTTCCCCTTGTTTATGAGATCAGTGGAATAGATGACGTTTATAATATCCTACAAAGTTTTATTAGCTTACATCATTAAAACAACCCTACAATATAAGCTAAAATGATTTTAATTGTGTTCTAATCTAATTATTATTTGTTAAATACTGAAACATTTGTAAATTATGTTCATAGCCAACTGGTTTATTAAACTAATGCCTGTACAAATACACCCATAACCTAGAAAGTCCTAAACCTTCAGTTATCCCTCAATCTAAACCCCTGAATTCTGAATTGCTGAAACAATCACACACCTAAATTGCTTAGCACTATTCCACCTTGTAGCTAGTGATCTTATGTTCCCAATAAATTCATTATCGCATAACATTAAGATGTGTCCCCTAACATTCAAAAAATAATAACCGTACACGGAATTAAAACTAAGTTTTTGGATGTACTCATTGTGGATCCTAACAGACAAATAACAAATCTCGAGTCGATTTCTTATTTCTGAAAAATCCTTAGTAAGATCAGGATTGCAAGCACTGCATCCTATATGAGACAAGTTAAAAAGGAATAATTCGCTCGTCAAAAATCAGATAAACCACATAATTTAGTTCCTGCTACTTGAATAGGCACACTACATTTTAGTCAGGACAAATGGTAATAAGTACATTATTTATCACCTACAAACCACATACTCTATGCTTAACTTAAAAGCCAGTAAACATCCAAGTAGGAAAATTATTAATTTACAACAAATAAAGGGAATAACCTCGAGAAATATCCCAAAGGTTTATCAGTATGCACTGAATGTAATGACGCCAGAAATTAACATTTAAAATGGGTGCATAATTACTTGATTCTTAATACAGGTAATAAAGTATTTTCTCAATTCCATCCAATTCATATATTCCTTTTATGTTTTCTAATAAGCTAGACCCTGATTAATGACAACCAATTTAATTATCTCATCTATAAATATATATAGTTAAATATGACTGTATACTGTTTCTGTTTCCTTAGATTAAACTAAATATCTACATTAGTAAATAGTTCATCAGTCATAAGCAACGTAGAATGTGACACATGTGGATCGGTTTAAGCAGTAATTCCATACAAGCACAGCTAGATGCTAGAGACAGAAATAATAGCAATATCCGGGATAGTTAAAAAAAATTAAGCGTAGATATTAAGAGTTGCAAAAATATAAGTTCGCGAAATAAAAAGGATAGGCCAATCTTAAAACTCAGAATTTAAAGGAAGATAGAGTCGGCGTATCACTGTCGTTGTGACCCGGTCCGAGCCACCTCACTGAACGTCTCCAAACATTTCTTACAATAATTGCGGAAACTTCAGCCAGGTAATCTAAACCCACCAACATGACTCACTACAACAGTCAACATCTTTACGAACTGATAAAAACTCTTGATCTCGCAGCACACAGCTTCCCTCCAACTTACTCCTACAATAACTAACATTCCATGCTCATTAGTCCGACTAATAATGTCTCTTTACTAGTCGTTTGACTGAATGAAAGCCTAAGTTTAAAAAAGATAGGTTTACAAAGAAAACCTAAGTAGCTAGGAATTAATTGATATTACTTAATCAGACCAATTAAAACTCTATTCATTCACTTCAATAAAGAGAAGTTTCAAAAAAAAAGAAATTACTCTGATAGTTGTATCACTTGTGAAAAATCTCATGAACACTAGTGTTTTTCAAAGATATCATTGACAATATTAATCAGAATGAAAACGAGATTCATTTTAATTACTGGATCCGTCATCATTTAAAACATCTATGTCGTTTTAATAATCCATAAAAGTACGTACTAAACTTTACTGACAGTTTTGCATTTCCCTAAAGGATTTCTGCTTTCTCTCAAATCTTATTAACAAAAACGCTTTATATAATGACTAAATTTTTAAATTACCGAACAAAACAAGTTAAAATACAATATCACAGATTGAAATCATGAGTCAGTTGAAGCTAGACCATCATTGAGAACCTGGAAGCACTGGACGGCCGTTTCGTCCTAGTATGGGACTCCTCAGCAGTGCGCATCCACGATCCCGCACCACGCGGGGCTCGAACCCGGGACCTACTGGCTTCGCGCGCGAGCACTTAAACATTAGACCACTGAGCCGGCATCCAACGGTGTTAATGTCTAACTTCAACCAATCCACGAAGTTGCGCCACTGTACACCATTGTCTTCAGTGAGTTCCTACCTCACAACAGACCTGGTTGAACTCCACTGGTAACGGCTTCTCACTAGAACTTCGGGAGTTTTTCCTGAAGTCAGTCACTAGTGAGCAGTTGATTATTATTATCAGAATGGGTTTTGTGGAGATTTTAGAAATTTCACAGATTGAAATCATGAGTCAGTTGAAGCTACAATAGCTCTAATATAACCCTTAAAAAACACAACGTGAACATGTACATGATCTGTTTTACATAATAATGCATGAATAGTCATCAATAACTCATTATGTACAAGTTCATTAACTAGGCCTTAGTTCAAAGTATTGATTAACCGGCTACGAGCGTGCATTTTGAATAAACGATTGGGTAATCAAAATATTATATAACTCAGAAGGGGTTTTTGTGGAGATTGTAGTAATCTCAATATTTGAGATCATGAGTCAATTAAAGCTAGACAACCATGGAAAGCCTGGAAGCAATGGACGGCCGTTTCGTCCCAGTGTGGTACTCCTCAGGAGTGCACATCCAGTATCCCGCCTCGCGGGCTTCGAACCCAGAACCTATCAGTCTCGCGTGAGAGCGCCTAACCACTAGACCACTGCGTCGGCATACAACGGTGTTATGTAACTGCTAGGAGTATTAAACATAATCCTATTAACATGGCTAGGCCGATCACTGAGACTTTCAATCGATTAATTAAAACCTTAGAACTATTATCTAGCTACTACTAAGTTCATTTTATAAATTTTTAGCTTAGCCGGTAACATTGAATGTTTACACTTTTACCACAATGATGACGTGTTAAAACAGTCAATGATCATTTTTTAGCATTGCATGGATCGTTCATATTTATTGAAAAATTTTCTAGCTACAACGATATAAATATATATATAGGAAAATTTGTTTTATTTTCTAGAACCTGTTCAGGTTGGAATTTCCCGACAAGTCCCTTTATATAACTTGATCGATTCACTGAATTCAATCATATGTAGTATTTTACCAAACAGACCAAGTTGTTGTAAAAATGATTTATCTTATTGAGAAAGTTGAAAAACAATGTGAATTACAATACCAGTTCGATAAATATATGCCCGGTAGAGTTTCTCAATCAAGTGGAATTCATAACTAATTACAATTTTTATTCTAGTATTAAAAAATCTGAATGTATATATACCGAGTGATTTAGCATAATTAAATGGGATCTAAATGTAGATCATTGTATTCCAACTTAATCGTCTGAAAAAGTCGTATGCTCTGTATAATTTGAAAGTTTTAGGTTTAATAAGGTTAGGTTAGTCAGTGTTCAACAACGACAAGTACCAAATAATGATAACAGAGCTATCTAGTATCATTATTTTGAAATAACACTATAATGAAAATTACATAAACATATAAGTTTGTAGGTATCATTACCAAGGTTTGATTTGATAATTTCGAATAAATTGAGCATTGGGTAGATTGTTATAAATAAAAGGATTCTCTGAAGAAGTGGCTTACACTAAGTCACGAAACGTCAGAAAATCTGATTTTTCTACTCATTGGGATATTACAAATGTATTATTTATCTATATACATATAAGTAACTTTTCTTTGTTTCACCAATAAACTGTACCACCAAACATTATCCAAATGTTACATTGCGTTGGTTACTAAATACTCTGCTGTTTATAATGTGCTTAGTATCAACTCTTCCAAGTGTAGTTTTAAGCAACATAAGTTTAAAATTATTTAGCAACAAATAATGTCATTCTGTTAAGTGTCATACTACATAAAACTTTCAGCCGGTTATCTTCAACCATTCAATACGTACTTATAACTTTGGTAGATTATGTAAATTTTTGTCAGAAAAATATTATATCAGCTGTTATAACTAGTTAACAACATTTAAAGTGTGTATTTTAAATTCATTTATTCAAAAGTCAGACATTGAAAATATTGCATGATATTGTTGGGGGGGGGGAAGGGAAAGAAGTTTCCGTATATAAAATATAACTACTGGTTTGTTCGTAGTTTCTTGTAAGTAGAATGCTTCCTTAAATGAATGCATGAATGTCTATATGTGAAATTGAAAGAAATGAATTTTGAACTTGGTATTCATTGGAAAATTTATCATAAATTGAACTCTTACTTGGATACAATTAGGTAAGAGATATTATATTCATTCACTTAATTAAGTAGTAATCATTAAATATTGTAAATTATGTGTATAAAAAAAGAGGACATAATTTAAAAGTTACAGGGTTATGATAAAATATTTTCACAGATAATCCCATATTGAATTATCTCGAAATTTGTAACGGGTTAAATGAACAATATTCGTTTTATTATTTACTGAAGCGAGTTATCATACCTAAATATATGAATGTTGTATAACTGATGGATAGAAATACATTGAAATGAAATATATTATACTTAAACTTTAATTATTAGGTAGCACTTCAATTTTATTTAGGTCACACCAGCTCACGATGGATAAGTTTTTTCATTTAATTCTAACTCGGACTGTTATTTAAAACATTATCAACATGTAAATGTGGATAATTTGTGAATCAAGAAGTTAATGTGGCATGAAAGATTGGTCAATTCGTTGCTGAATTTCAGCAAACAAAAAGTGCCAAGTACAGAGATTATAAATAAGACTGATAGGCCCTGGGTTCGAATCCCGTGAGGCAGGATACTGGATGCGCACTGATGAGGAGTTCCACAATAAGACGAGATGGGCATCCAGTGCTTCCAGGTTTTCTATGGTTGTCTAGCTTTAACTGACTCATGATCTCAACCATTGAAATTATGATTTTTAGTTGATAACTTACATTTTTAATTATTTATTTCTACGGATTAAAAAAAAACCTACACACCTTATATTTTAGCAGGAATGTGTCTTTTGTAGAGGTTAGCATCCTAAATAAAAGGCGGAATGAAACTGAAGTGTACTTGATTCAGGTGTCATGGATCTTCTGAAACTTGCACATTTTCTTGATCATACAGAAAAATTATTGGGATTTTTCTCTATACTTTTAATGAATTCTCATCATATTTTATTCCAATCAAACCAAATTGAAGATTTATACGAATATTCGTCAAGATTAGAACGAATAGTTTGACAGTAATTAGGCGTCGAGTATAGAGAAGTCTGGACGAAACGTTGGAATTAGTTAAATTTCAATCGCTGAGAATATTTCAAATATAATTTTCACATATAATGACAAATTAAAGATTGTTATAAAAGTAAAACCCGTAGCACGTGTAATTCATTTTTATAAAAACAAATTAGGTTTTAGTAAGTTGGGTGGGATCTGTCATTCAAAACGTGACAATTGATGTATCGATAGTTAATTTACAATTTTAAAGCTTGCTTTTATCATGCTAACCGAATATGAGTATGATGAAATAACTTACACTTAGCCACAAAAAGTTAGAAATTCAATTTTTTTGCCCACTGAGACATTACAAATTTGTCTTCATTTTTTTATCAATAACAGTCTCGTGCAAATCAAACCTAGGTAATATATAAGCATTTTAAAAAATTTGTTCCATTACTAATCGACATGACTAAATAACATTTAACTCACTCACTAAATTTTGTTTTCATAACACTTGAGTTATTATGATGTTTAAAATTCAGTTATTGGTTGATTTGAGCTAAAGATGAGACCCATGCGCGGGATCGTCGATGCGCACTTCTGAGGAGTCCCACACTGGGATAAAACGACCGTCCAGTGTTTCCAGGTTTTCAGTGGTGGTCTAGCTTAGATCGACTCATCAATTCAATTGTTACAATACTACAATCTCCGCAAACTCCCATTCTGACAAAGATGATCAGTCTGATAATGAAGACAAATATAACTAAATACTCAGTACTCTTGGTTTTAGAAAGTTGTAAGCTTTAGAATTGTAGTAATATATAAATAACATCACTAGATGGTGTCAAACGGCAAATAATTTTTGTCTTGAATAATGTCATTTACTACTTATGAGTATTTGTATGCAATAGACCCATAACCATCACGGAATAATCCAAGTTAACAATAATACTTCACTGCTTATTTTACAGTTCAAATATTGGACTAATCATCTAATTAAAAATGGAGAAACGTTCACATAAAGAGGACCAGTAAAGTACACTAGTTTATTGTACACAGTAAAATCATCACCACTAGATGGACTAGATAAAAATCAAGGTCAAATAGTTTCACCCTACTTGCTCTTTACTATTAATCCATACAAGCATCTGAACATTTATAAATACATTTCAAATATGGAACTACTTACTGATTTAAAGCAATCAGTCCCTTTGATAAATTTAAATTAATGTAATCTGATAATCTTCGTCTTCTTATTGTACTTACTGATCGCTCTTGATTTACGACTATTGAATAGCGAATATCCCTTTGATTGTTTTTATAAACAAGGATATATTTCCATTACCATAGTATAATTAAGCTGACGCTTTAATTATTTTATTATACAAGTCATGACCCGATTCTAATTCCAAGCCAATAGCTACTTGATCATTGAACGGTGATAATAATACAAACTGTTATTATCATAACTTACATGTTTGACACATTCAGTAAACAAATGACCCCATAAAACAGTGTTCAATCAGTTTTAATACGAACTAAGTACTTTTTCTTAACAAAAATTCAATTGTTATTTCTGATCATTTTCTTCAGTAAACATGTAATAACCACAATAATCCTCAGTAAGTCCATAAAACAATTAATTACTAACAATAGAAGTAATTACACTGATATTACTGTTAAGTACATTTCCGAATGAATCAATTATATCATTGATACCCGTAACATGTATTTACTATGCCAATTTATGACATTATGCCTTGCTTCCATCGATTTGAATCGTTTGTGAATCATCTTGTGCTATTTTATCTGTGTATACAGTAGGAAGTTATTAAAATTCAGTTATAATTATAGTTATTGCTATTACTTTTACATTCAAACATACATAAGCATTTTCATACATACATACAATATATATACATATACGTACATACATACATACAAAAGACACCCAATTATATAACACACATGTATGTGCTTGTAAACTATCATTTTCGTATTCATATATGCCTGAAATAAAAGTATGAATGTCTACAAATTTTCTCCTATGTATATAATATTTTCCCATCTCTATAGAGTACATATGTATCTATGTTGAATGAACTTCGTTCAGAGTTATTAGCTCATTCAAATTGAAAGTACCATTTCCAGACATAATTATCACAGTAAGATACTGCTCTGCGATTGGTTTTATGTATATTTTTGGAGTCATAAGAATACAAAGGTTAGATATTAAAACCAACCAATTAAATTCACCACTTGAATAAAACAAATTCACTCTTTTTCATAAATAATCATAATAAAACGTTTCACAAAATAGAAATTGCTAATTTCCCTTTCTGTTTCAAAGTCATTTTGATTATGAAAGATAATTTTCGGTCAAAATATCATTATGATAAGTAGATTAAACTCGATAAGAACGTCCAATATACAATTGAAATAACATTTTAGTGACTTTACTCAGAAAAAAAGATGAAGCAGCAAACTAGCTTGTTAGACTCAATTTAAATAAAAGTAGTCCTCGCTGAAAAATTTCCATCATATCACGACAAAATGACTGTCCGATGCTTCTAGGTGTTCAGTGGTAGTCTAACATTGATCGGTTGATGATTCTAATAAAATTCAACAATCTTCACAACCCCAAACTGAAAAAAATATGGATATGGACGAAGAATATTCTTTTCGATAAATTCTCTTAAAGTTCTACACTTATATTTCCAAATTAATAACCCAAAAAATGACTAGGTTTAAGGTAAATATATATAGTGATAAATATATTTTTTGTTATATACTAGTGAGTAGAAAAATTGTATTTCTGATGTTTCGTGACTTAATGTAAGTCACTTCTTCTTAGTAGATAAATAACTGAATTAAATTAACCCAAGTGACGGAACGTCAGAATTACAATTTTTCTACTCACTGGGATATAACAAAAAATATATTTATTATTAACTCTTCACTCACTGCTCAATTTATTTGAACCTATCAAGTTCAACCTTGTCACTAAAACCTGTAAATACATATAGTTTAAAATTATATCATGAGGATTTTAAATAGCTTTTAATATAAGATATAATTAACACCTTTGGATTTTAGATGAGTGGTCTAGAGTCTATGTTCGCGCGTGATACGAAGGTCCTGGGTTCGATTCTCACGTACGGAGTCGTGGATCTGCGCTTCTTGGGAGTCTCGTATCATCATGTGAAAGTCATTCGGTCTTTCCAGGTTTGTTCTGGCGGCCTAGTTAAGATCAGTTCGGGATTTAAATTGTTAAACAAACCTGTTAGTGTTGTGATGACTAGTATGCAATGTTGACTTGAATTAGTTTGTACGATAAATGATCAAAATAAATATAGGCAACATGAGGTTAAAGATAAAATTATAATCAAAGGTTAAAATGAATTTCTGATCAAAGATTACGTAATATAAAGAGTAATATGGATTAGGTAAAAAATAGTAAATAAGAGTGGGTTCTAAATAAATTTCCTAAACATTTACAAATGTTAGAATAATTCTAACAATCATAATATGCGAGAACAATATAAATTTAAGCTGTGGAAATGCAAAGAGGAAGAATGCATGCTACATCAATCAAATTATGTCCTCATATCTTTAAAATAAGTATTAATTAATTTGGTCAAAAGAAAATAAGTTAGTTATATTTCTTCCGGATGTCAAGCTCCGACATTTTGATCCAAATAGCTGTTGATTCAGTCCTTTTACGAATTCTTGATCTGATAAATTTCGACAAGTGATTGTTAAATTCACGCGTTATAATATTAAACGATATATTTACCTTAAGCCTGGACACTTTTGTTATTGTTAATTCAGATGTATAACTGTAGAATCTCAAGAAAACTAATTCAAAAGTAATTCTGATGAAACTAGAAATCAGAGTGAGCGATAAACTTTAATTACTGACAAAATAATCACTGAAAAACAGGCTGTATTATTGGATTGTGTTAGTGGAAAATGGAGTATGGACAGTATTTTTTTCTGTTGTAGCTTGCTGATCTAAACGGATTTTGATAAAACAAAACAATATGACAGTATTTTTCTGTTTTGAATCAGTCGATTTTAGAGAGTTGTCAAAATTAGTAAACTAATCAACATTTGCAAATTGTTCCATGTTTTCTCTGTTAAACAAGAATAAACTTATCCTGGCCTGTATTTTTCAGAGACGAATAGTTGACGGCTCTTCCGACGAACCTAGTACTTGGGTTTCATTTCCCGTAGTCTATTAATGATTTATCTGAGTATTCATGTCTGAAATAACTTTAC